ATGAAATTAGCCCAGAATCTTATTTATTTATTTATTCATTTATTTAGATTCTTGCTATAGGGTACATGTGCTCACTGGAGAGACAGAGAGATAGAAAGCAAGAACTCACCCTGCAGGGAGGATAGCCATGTCAGAATCCCTTCTCCATTCTCCCCTCTTGATTTTGAGCATGCACACATGCCCAGCTCATTTCAAGCCACCAGGTCCAGGGCTCGAACTGTGTTCAAACACATGGAAGTTCAGTGCCTTAACCATTGTGCCACCTGCTGGCTCCAGAATGATCTTCGAAGAAGTGACAAGTTGAAAGAGTTGCTAGATGCTATTCAAGTTTGGTTTTCATGCTCAGCATCTTACTCTTCATCTTGTCCCTACTTTCCCAAACAACTTCAAGTCTCTCTGGAGCTGCGTCCTGGCGTGTAGGGGGCTCATAGTCATGCTACAGAATGGCTGCCCTGTTAGAACCGTCGCCTCCTGATTTCTCCTCACAGCCCCTCTTCTCCAGTGGCTCGGAAGCCTTAAGTTGCCGAGTCTCCGTTTTGTTTCCTCGCAACATTCCCCGCCTGAGAAGTGCCCCATGCTCTGCTGCTGGTTTCATTTCATGACGTGTGAATGAGGCTGTCTTTGCAATCAGTCCCTTTCATACTGATGTCTGAAAGGCTAAGGGCTCCCTCAGTTGTGGTTTCTTACCCATACTGCATTGCAGCTTAAATTGCAGCTGCCACTGTTGTCCAGCAGGTGCTTAATTTCAACACATCATTATGTGGAATCTTAGGACATGAAGGAAGGGTACCGGGTCCTATTTAACAGCGCTTAAGAGACCAAGGAGAGTGGACTAGAAGACACAGAACCTGTGCTTCAGAAGTCGGCACAGACTAGATGTTAACTCACGTAAAGATCAAATCGCGCGGTAGCAAAGAAGCAAGGCAGGGGTCAGCGGAGAAGTCTGCCATTATCTTCAGAGGTTTTATGAAATGTTCTTGTATTTGTTGAGTAGTGAGAACAAATCTATACGGATACTTTGTCATTCTTAGGACGTATTCTTTAAAATATTAGTCTGGGTGCAAAGACCTTGTTACTGCTGTCAGGAATTTTTATGCAGCACAAGTCCTGTGACTGGATAGTTTTCATCTTTCTATAGTCTGGGAAACGGATTATTTAAATCATGTTTAAAAACTTTTAATACATAAAGCCTCAGAGTAGCATGTTAATTGGCAGCTTCATGAGTAATTACAAATTGCCAAAGTTAATGAATAATATAATGGGTAAGAGATTATTTTGGTACTTGTAGAACTATGGCATGCATTTAAAATCTACGCTAGTTGATTCTTGAATGAAATTTTCTCAAAATAATATCAAAGCAAAGTTTTGTTAGTGAACTATTTTATATTTCCGTATGTAGGAGTAAGCAAATGCTACTACTATCTGAACATTTGCTATTTATTTCTTTTCTTGGTTTTACAGTACAAATTTAAACCTCATAAAGATTATTATCATTTATAAGATTTTATATATACAAATGTTCCTATTATGCAATAAGCATTGCTCTTCTATATAACAAATTGAGGGGAAAAAAAGGGCAGGTTAAAAAAACAGAATATTTTAGACTAGATCAGTAAAAATATGAAGTGTTAGGACCAGCAGTTAGTGTAATCGACTGTGGTTCGTGTCCCGGACCCGGTGGCTTAAAACTCACGCTGGGCGCGTGTGCGTGCGTGCCCAAGATCCCGGGAGGAAAATGGAGGAGAAGGGATTGCGGCGTGGCCATCCCCCCGGGGGGTGATTTCTTGCTTTCTGTCTCTCTGTCTCTCTCTTGTCTGTCTGGCGAGTGCACATGCCCTATAGCAAAAGCCTGTCCAAAAAAAAAAAAAAAAGTTTGCTTGGTTTCGTTTATTATTTATTTATTCCTAATTTGCCAGAGGAAGTGTGTGCTTACCAGAGAGAGAGAGAGATGGGTCGAAGAAATGAGAAAGAACACCCCCCCCCCCCGAACAGAGGGGGCTGTCCCCCCCCCCCCCCCCCGCAGAGAGTGGTCTTGCAGCAATCCTTTCTCCCCCATTTCTGACTCCTTTTGAGATTTAGGGCATGCGTGCGCACACCCCTGGCATGTTTTGAAAGCTGTGTCTGGGACTCTCACCGCGCAGTCGGCCATATGGGATCAACCACTATGTTACCAGCTGGCCTGATTTTATTTATTTTAATGAGTGTCATGCTCAAGAGTTAATTCCAAATTAGAATTCTGTAAATTTATTAAACATGAAATGGTATCTAAAAAGTGCGAAAGTGGCAAAGATGATGTCTGAGATTGAAATCAGGATTTCCTGGGGGTTGTAGGTTTAAGATTCCAGAAACAACCTCAAGTAACATCTGTCCAGCACTCGAACTGAGACTGAGCAGCACTGATAATTGAGTAGCACTGGTATCTGAATTTCAGTATTTTACACACACACATGAATCAATGAATCATATTTCTTTTTTTACACTACATGGAAACATTTCTTTTTTCTTCTTCTCACAGGAGGCCAAGGTTTGTGGAACCTCTAAAGATATTTGCAATTCCACCCATCAACATAGAATTGGAGAGGCGTGTGCCTGGTGTTCTGTGTGTGTGTTCCAGAGCAAGGGTCTCATGGTAGACGGGGAGCAACATGTTCTCTGAAGGCAAAATTTGGCTCCGATCATTCCTTGGCACCTTTTTTCTCTTTGGGTAATATTCATTTCTTGTCTTTCCTAGAAGTGATTTTTTTCTACTTGGTTGAGCTAACCTTTGTCCACCTCAAATTCAAAATGTCTGAGACTAATAAAAAGGCCAACTTTTGGTTGTTGGTGCCAACTTTTGTTATTCTCACTTTCCTGAGAGCAGTTGAGATTTGGATATACTATTGACCCCTTCTTAAAAGAATAGGAGCTCCGGGGCTGGCAGGTGTTGTGGTGGTTAAGGGCGCCGGACTTCCACGTGGCTGACTGCAGTTTGAGTTCCAGACCTGGAGGCTGCTTTCTCACTTTCTCTCTCTCTCTCTCTCTCTCTGGTCAAATTAAAATAAATAAATAAAGTTTAATAATTTTTTTTTTGAGAGATTTTCGCTATAGGGCATGTGCGGCACCAGACAGACAGAGAGAGACAGAGAGACAGAAAGCGAGAAATCACCCCCCAGAGGGGATGGTCATGCCGCAATCCCTTCTCCTCCATTCTCCTCTCGGGATCTTGGGCACGCACGCACATGCGCCCAGAGTGAGTTTCAAGTCACTGGGTCCGGGACGCGAACCGCGGTCGACTACGTGGGAGTCCAGCGACATAGCCATTACGCTAACTGCTGGTTCCCATGAATAATTCTTTTTTTTAAAAAAAATAACAGGAGCTCCAAGCTGCAGGAGTGCTGTGTGGAGAAAGGAGACGGGCACCTGAGTGGGCTGGGGCAGGGATGGTCTTGATGCTGACTGCGACAGAGCCCTTAACAGAGCTTGGGTGGGGCTGAGTCCTGAGCGCTGATCAGTGAGCTTCAGAGAAGGGTTGTGTGGTCGGAGAACAGAGCTGGCTCTACCTCACTTTCCCTGTTGCCCTATGCTGGTTAAATCGCTCCTGACTTCATGCCTGTGTATTGCTCTCTGCTCCTTCAATCCCCATTCTTACAATCACCAGATAAAGCCCGACGGCCCGCCATTTGGTCCTGTCCTTCCTCTGTTCCCGACTCCTAAACTCCACTGTACGGTCTCGCTGCCTAATGTGGCAAATTTGAACTCTGCATCTTGGCACTGTTTTATTTCCCTAGTCCTTGACTTCAAGCAGTCCCCTAGGTATAGCCTGACCTACACAGATTTTCTTAGTGGGCTTTTCAAAAGGAATTCCTGGAAGGCAGTGAAACATCAGATACTGCACGCCCATGCTTGGTTCCTGAGGCTCTTTCCACACAGCCCATGACGTGGCATTTCAATGTCTTTGTTTCTCTAGTGCTTGTGCTTACAAAGGAATCCAAAGTACCAAGCTGGAGGTGCCAGACCGTGGCCCAGTAGTGACGCTATGCTCTGTGATGCCGACCATGTGGGAAGGTTCTGGGTTTGCAGCTAGAGGCCTCGCTGAACGCGCCGCGTACACACGTCCACAATCTGGAACTGGCTGAAGCTGGCGTGGATTGTGGCATGAACACGCTAGTGGGGATGTCTGTTTATCTCTATATCTCTCTCATTGAAGAGATAAGTGAACAAAAGTATGGAGTTGCTTCCCAGAGATTCCTTGGGAATTAATGAGCATCTATTTATAATGTGTTTTGAGGTATTATATAAATAAACTATACAAATCAAGACAATTTAAGTAGAAAAGCGACACAAAAGTAGACCTCAAGTGTCATGTTTTTTCCTCGTACTCAATAAAATTTTGTTAAAGAAGCTGGCATTCAAGAATTGTGCCTTGAACCTGAATAAGTGGCAGAGTTGGCAGTGGCATGACTACTTCCTTTGGAGAACGTCACAGTCTTCCATTCATCTGAGCTTGGAATCTCAGCCATCTTGACTTCGACATTTAACTGAGCTCATGGCATCTACCTGGGGTGAAAATTGCTTTGTCCATTCTTGCTGCCACCTTCCCTTTAAAATTTTTGTTTCTCCAGGCTTTCAGATGGTGTGGTGGTTAAGGGCATTGTAATCCCTCGTGGATGACTGTGGTTTGAGTCCTGAACCTGGCAGCTTGCTTTCTCACTTTCTCTCTCTCTCTCTCTCTCTCTCTCTCTCACTCTCTCTCTCTCACTCTCTTGCTCTGTTCCTGTCTGGTCAAATTCAAATAAATAAAGTGAATAAATAAAATTAAATGAAAACATTCTTAAATTTTTCTTTTTTTCTCTTGTCGAGATGATTGAAGTACCCCTTTTGGCCTTCCTGTTCCTGTTTTTATAGTTCTTTATTGTATGGGGGAGGGGGACTTCAAAAAGTTTATAGAAAATGGAATCAGAGTATGAGTTTAGGGCAGTATGGGGTGAGGAGGTTAAGGTGACTGGGTCCCACAGGGCCGACTGCACAGCTTCAGCAGCACAAATACTAAAATTGGAAAGAATAGAGAAGATTAACATGGCCCCTGTGCAAGAATGACTTGCAAATTCACAAAGTGTTCCATATTTTTAAAATGTTGTTTCATCTCATGTGCAAAATAATTTTTCTTTTCAAATAGTTTTTTGATTTTACATTGGAGAACTATAAAATAAAGCAGAGAGCAGAATGTTTTATCGTGATTTTTGCTTCAATGACTTTAGAACAATTAAAAAAATTCTAAACTTAAAAAAATTGAGTTTATGTTGGTGTAAGACATTTTAAAGTTCATAATAATTGTTTTTTTTTAAATTTATTCATTTTCTACATTAATTCACTCTACACCATCACAACACACAAATGAATTTTCCATCCAAAATACACTGTGCATTGGCTCAATCAAGCACATCAACATACATGTTCTCAGCAAATAATTTTCCAATTCTTATGTCCTGCATACCTTGCCTTTTGTTTTGCCATCCTTGATTCCCATCCCCCACCCTCTGCTATGTCCCATCTTCCTCCTACATTGTCCCTGGCATCCACGGTTGCCCTCCATGCCTTCCCCCCCCATTCAATTGTTCTGCCAATGAACTTAATTAGTCTAAATATATCCAATAGCTAGCACAGCTGACATGTACCTATACATGAACCCAAGTCTGACTTTAGGCATAAACCCCAGTGAGTAGAATGAACATACTATAAAGTAGTACCCAGCTGGGCCCATACAGCTCGCTGC